CTACCCAGGTGCCCGCTCGTGCCTGAAATAATGCCCGGAGGGGCACCTTGGGTCTTCCTCCACCAATAAAAGCTGGGGAAAAAATCGACGAAAAAAATCGGCGGGACGCTCTAGGGTGGCCCGACTTGAGTGTACGGTCGCCCATATGGGTTTTCCGGCGGCGACCTTAAATAAACGCATTAAAAAAATAAACAGGATTATAACTTAACTGTTTAATGATATCGAAGAACTGCGAATAGGTGGTTCAAATAGCCATGATAATATTGTCAACAGCCAATATAATATTGTCAACTTTCAATTTAGTTGCATATAATATACCAAATCATAAGAGTTGAATTCACTTTTCTTTTTGTTTCACAATATAATCGTTATTAATTTTATTACATAAAATTACTCTCTTAGACTATTTATTAAAGAGGTGTTTGCAAGAGGTGTGAGTTTCAGTCACCCTTTAACAGCGTGTACATCTTAATAACATCAATTAGTTTCATTACTTCACGGGTTACTTCACGGGAATCATTCTACATTTTCTATTGTTATTATATTGCGACACCAGATAGATAATATAATCAAAGTTTTCACAACAGGATAAAACCTTTTGTCTGAGTCAATAGCCATAAAACAGTTAATCTGCACAATAAAGCTTCCCATTCAAGAAAATTGTCCAGACCTGTAATGAAACTATCTCTTGGAGACACGTCTTACTTGTTCCAAAATTGTCAATTCAAATGTCTTCATGTAATTGCTTCACGCCGCGAGCAATGTCTTTCACAAGACAAATTTCAATTTTCTAAGACAACGCGATTAGACATTAAGTAGAAAGTGTCTATAGAAACTGTAATTTAAAAGTCTGACTTTCAAACACAGTTTCAGGCGCTTTAATTTGGTTTAGAATAAGCGCAAGTTACGTCATACTTGTTCATACTGTGGATGCATTTAAATGGAAAAACTTGGTAGTATGTTGTTATATAACAAAATGCAACATATTGACGAAAATGACTATTGCATTATTTTACTGACGCAGCGGAAGCGATCAAAAATGTTATACAAAAATAGAGAGAGAGGGACTCTAAGTATGTATCAGGCTGCAATGAGGAATTAAGCAGAATTTCAAAAGAAAGCTCGTAAAAATCGATTATCGACTATCGAGACTGTTTTTTATTTAGTCTTCACAACAGACTTTTACCTTAAAAACTGAAAAAAAATCGTACTTTATGTTTTTATTCCGGAAATTGCAGAATAACCCAAATCACTTAAAAAAATACACGATGTTACATAAAAATTCTAGTGGCAAATATTGCTAGAATAGTTTTTGCCGCAATGTCATCTCCTCTTATAGAACAATTACATCAAGCGGAATGACAATAAAATGTAATTTTCATGTTTAAAAGTCGGTGCTAGGGGGGATGGACGGTAATTTGCACTTTCTAGTACTTCCATGAGCAGGCTTAATCAAAACAAACCTGCAACATTTACAGTTTTGTCCTGTTGGGTGGTCTTTAGGGATTCCGTTTTCCCTATTTTACCTTCTCCCATAAAAAATTCACGAAATCTGTAAGAAACAAGCTGAACATTATATCAACGATTAACTTAAATCCTTTTTGTTTGTTCAAGTTAATGCTCCTCTAAATGAAAAATTAAAACTTTATTATGAATTTGAATAACCTCAGCTGTATAACTACTAGTTAAATAATGACCATCAAAAGCATAAACGTCCATAGAACTATGGTTTACCTGTCAACATATTGATTCTTTATGATAACTCTACAATACAATTCGATTTATACAATTCATACCTTTAGTCCTAAAAGATAACATAAGTAACATTTCGTCATGTAACCAAAAAAAGACGGAATATAGGCAAAACTTTGAAAATGCTAGTCCTTAATCTGATATGGCCAAAAGTGACAAGTCCTTGCCACCAGTATAATGCGTAGGCTTACTGCGCATCCTTTCATTTCTGTATTTTGATTGTGTAATCCCATATTGTTAAAACGGGTTGTTCAAAATTTTAATCAGGGTAAATCAATTACAAAAAAGTCAGATTTAGGGTCAGCTCTCAGTGATGCGTGACAAACGATAGAAGTTGCAATATCGAAATCGAAATCAGTGTTAGAAGAATACGTCTGAAAGATTAAACTTATTACAAACACTTGAATATTATGTCGCACATTTTCCCTTTAGTTTCTTCGAAGATTGTAAATCTTGTTTAGATATTTATTTATAAATTCTGATTCGATTATTCTGATGAAGACAGTATAACAATCACGGATCTTGCACTCGTATTCTTTCATGTAGTTCTGGACTCTAGCGTAATAGTATATACTGCTTAAAAGCTCTGGACTTCAGCGTAATTAAGACTTCCGGACGACATGCTGGGCTGTAATGGAGATATTTCTTTGACATTTATATAAACGTATTAGAGTATCATAAGAGCGTATCAGCTAAAGTAAGTTATGTTTTTTTATTCCCTTTTTTTTCTTTTTGCTTTCTATAACATAGCAAAGTTAAAGAGACATATCTGTTCATTTGTAATAAGAGTCTCTTAGACGGAAAGTTTTAACCAATGTTTTGAAAATTAAAAACCACTACTTGCGTGTCTGAGGTTTACCTATCTCTACCTACGTGTCAGTAAGCATCAACACGACAGGTAAATATTTTATGTCTTGACAGAGATTGTATCTTAATTAAAATAAACGAACAGGAATCTTTTCACATTGTTCTGCAATCGGGTCAGCTGATCTAGGAGAATTCTCACCATATTATTTTTCTGAGTAATATATTTAGATATGTCAATGTTTCTATAAAATGAAAGGGTCTAATAAAATCATTTTTGTTGTTCTATTTAGTGTTTTGTTCATCGCAACTCTCTAAATGAAGTATTCATATACTTTATGTTGATATAATCAGTACATGTATTTTGATTTGATTGATTATTATATTATAAGCAATTTACTTTTTAATTAATTAATTAATTAATTAATGTAATTATGTATTCATTTAATTATTAATTGTTACTATTTATTTTTCAATTTATTTATTTTTGTAATATTTTTTATCTATTTATTTATTTATTTATTTATTATTATTTATTTATTATTCATCTATTATTTATTTATTTGATTGTTGATTAGGAAATAGATGCAGAAGTGAAATAATACAACTGAAAAAAAAATTCATTTTAAATGTTTCCATAATTAGTTTAATCAGTACATGTATTCAGCATTAGAAAGATCAAAGTCCTTTTGAAATTCCTACGGCCAATGTGTTTATTAACCTATGTCATTGGACTTGTCATAAAGGTTGATATGTAATTAAACCTTGAAAAGATTGTCCGGTTATTCAATAAAGTAGGCTGACAGAAGCAGCACTAGGAGAGCAAGCAGTTGCTTAGAAAATCTTACTAGACTTGATTAAAACTTCTTCTATAAATCTCTACAGATCTTGATTGCAAAGGCCAAATATAAAGAAATGTTAAAGTTAGTATTGTTTGATGTTTCAATAGATTGATTATATAATGATAATGTGTCAATAGTTCATTGAGTTTTCGATTTATTTTCAGCGTATAATCGACGCTGATACTCAAAATTTTACATGAATTAACCAGTTGCTGATTTTGATTGTGTAATTAAACTTAGATGTTAAATGAAATTTAATTATACTTGTATTAGAAAAATATAAGATATTTACAATTACAGTAATAAAAACAGTGTATTAAAATGACAAAAATCATCAAACAAAGTCGAAGATAATGTACGAAAGAAAATGATACAAATGGTTTATAAGAGATCATCAAATTTTGATATGCATATAATTTTGTACTTATAAATGATCTTATCCATTTCCAAAATTTCAATTTTCTTTCATTCTTTTTTTAAAATACTGTTTTATTTCTTTAATTTTACATTTAATACTGCTTAGATAATGCTGTCTGTACCAAACAAAAGTTGTTCTCGTCATTATATTTATATATGAATGTCATAAATAAAATATAAAACAAACATCGCAGTCTCTTGTGGTTTACTGTCTTATTCATCACGCAATTGTCCTGCAGATTTCTGAAAGCTTACATCAAAATGCCTCGTTTATTTTACATAATACATGTAATTTAAATTGAAATATAGGATAAGAAGACAGGAAACTATGTTTTCCTAACCACCTCCCTATACGACATCCTCTGTCTGCGTTGAACCTTTGCCAAAGTCGATTTTATATCGCTATTATTACCATTTGTAGACAACATAACTGTCCAATTTGCTGGGTAAATTCTTGCTAAACCAGCTTTATTTCAAAATGGGTAACGGAGTTTTAAGACGGATTTTAGTTAAGGCAAAAGGTGCAGTTTTTATTGTTTACTGTAGAAATGTAAAGTGAATTTAGTTTATTTACTATTTTTATTATTTATGCTTTACTTTTTTAAGATGTTGATATTTTATGTGTTTCAGCCAAAAATTACTTATTTGTAGTTGAAAAATCTGATTTTCAAAGGAGGATGAATCCTATTTTTGTTAATTCTTTAATTTGACATAATAAATCTGGTATTTTAGAAATGTTAATAATATATGTGTATCCTCTTGTTCTTGAGATTTAATTAACTTATACTACAGAACTATTGAACATAGTAAAATAATATTTGCATTTGGGTACATGTTTATAATTCATTTTTCTTCTTCTTTTTTTAAACGTATTTAAATGGTTATTTCTTGAGGGGGGAGTTTAATTGTATGTACATTATTTCAGATAATTTAAGCTATTTTGATTTAGGATAATCAAAAGGTAAATTGCATTTCAAAATATCTGTGATATGGATTATAATTGAGGTTCTAAGAGGTATTGTATTTGGTTCATTCTTTCTATCAGATATTGTCTTCGAGACATAGCATTGGTCTTTCTGTTTGTCACAACTATCGAGACTTCAGTACTTACGAAGTAAAACGCGCTAAAGATAAGATTATTAAGGGTATAAAAAGAAACATAACCATGCGTTTTAATGATTTCAGAGTTGCAGCCCTTGGATGGAGAGGAAGAGCAGTGTAAAGAAAAAATGAACGGAGGTGGCAAGCATTACGTGCTCGCAAATGGCGAAACTGTCGTCACATACGAGTAAGTACAAAGAGATCCTTTGTTCTAACATTAATTTGTGCTAAATCATTGCACATTTTTTCTTAGTTAAGTCATTGATTCGTGATAGATAATACCGGTTTTGCCACATTATATCTCAGTTGTTATATACGAGCTATCGTATGTGTTGTCCCTTGGGATTACAAAACGTTTGTGTCTAAGAATTAAAATTTCTTTAACCGGCGCTAGTTGACATGAAAGATGTTGCGCTTTCCGCCGTCTCATAATAAAACACAAATCTTAATTTTAACCGAGTTTACAATTTTCACAATTGTTTTCGTTTCCATTGCAACTTACTTGTTTTATTGTTCTCATCTTGTAGTTTTAAGTTAAGTTCTTCATGTCAAAAATAACTAATTTCAGACCTCCATTTCCAACTAAAAACTAAGTTTGCATGTTTTGAACGTACACAATTGCATACATTTGTAGGTTTTAATATAATAGTCTATACAATTCAATGATAGCATGGTACATTCTATAAATACTGGTTAAATTATATAATTTTATAAACATATTATGCTCAAAGCTGATGTTTTGAAAATACTGCGATAAAGAATCATTTTACATGTAAAATAAACATTTTTCGGTACTGAAACATGGTTACCATTTCAATTCTAGACACTATAGGTAATCGAAAATGAATACAAATTGTCACAAAATAACTTGCAGATTTCTTAAGAAAGTACTAAATTAACTGGACATGTAGTAGGATGTGCAGCTTCTCTTTTCTATGCCAATGACCAAAATAAGAACTGAAACAGGGTCATTGGATTTTGTCACAATTGGGTAAAATGATGCTTGTTATCTGTTGAATTCATATTACATTTGGAACATATTCGTTCGTTTCATGGGATATTTTGTTATGAGAGCCATGAGATGAAAGTCGACATCTTGTTAATACTATTTTAAATTTGATATTTTGCATTAATTCAGGTAACGTTCTAATTTCAAATATTTGAAAAACTCTGTTTAGACTATATATTTCAAAAGAGGTTACAGGACATATATCTTTTGGTCTGAAAAATAATATACAGCACTCATTAAGAGAATGGAATGTTAATTCTTCTATACATTCGATCATAACCTATTATGTAAGATGTTTACTGATACAAACACGTGTCAAGCACGTGTAAGGATGTGAATACACTCAGATAACTGACCATACATATTAATATACATGTCACAATTCAGAGGCTCGACTGTATTTAAAATTCTACAATTTAAGTTTCCAAATAAAATAAAAAACATATTTTTCAAAACATATCTCTATTTTCCTTATAGACGTAAATGATGGTATATAAGCAAGACATATGTATACATTTCCATTAAAATCAAATAAAAAATTTGATAATTTAATCCATAATATACCGTTTTGATCTTTTTCAATAACCTCTGTATATTTACTGAGATTCTCTCTATAAAATAAACTGATAAAAAACCAATTTAACGCCCTTTCTTAGTATTAATTGTCTTAGTGCCAAATAAATTTCACTAACAAATTCATCTATATCAACAAAATAACATGTTTGCTTAGATGATCAGGTTTCGGACAAAAGAACTTTATCATATTCGATAAATAATTTCTAAACAGGCATTATCTGAAAGTTGTCCGCATAGACCATTTATAGTCTATGCTAATAATCTTATGCCCAGACTCTCTTGACATTCCTTATTATGTGTGAGCGTTGGTTCACATAGCTGGCCATAAACGAACACTAAAACATTGTATTCTGTTTATAAAATATTCATTCCTGGAGATGCGTGCTTTCTGTTTGTTCTGTTCAGCGTCCTTTATCAATGGCTTGAAGGTTTTACGGGGGTCACGATATTCTTGAGGTAAATGGAACCCAGCTCCGCGGTCACTGTTCTTTAATGATTTGTGGAGACTTTAGGCGCACCATTTCTTGTGAAATTTCAACACAATTATAGGACATACTTTCTTTATCTTTATGCACCAAGAGTTGATCTGCGCGATCAGATGTGATGTTTTAAGCGTCATCTATTTTCAAGTGAGCCGTATCAACTGCATTAAACAATATAAGATTACATTTTTTCTTTCTTACTTTCCTGTAAATTTTGAATCTAGGATTTCCGGAAACAAAATTGTAAAAAAAAATTAATTATTACAAATTTTCGGTTATTCAATTTCGGTTAGTTTACACTAAAAGAAAATATCAACAATTCATTGACTTAGAAACCTAAATTGCTTAATTTATCAATATGTTATCAGTAAATATTTTATAGTAGTATTATCCAAGCATAACACGAATCAGAAAGGGAAGTGCGTGCATTATAGTAACAAAATTTTAGATAACAACAAACCAGAAATAGGATAATTATGTTTTGGTACGTATTCAATGAACCGATTTGTGATAATTTATATGGCAGATAGAATACAGGTGGGAAAATATTTAGGGCATGTGCGCATTCTAAGCTATGATAAGTTAATTTGTGCCTGAAACAAATTTGAAATACGTCCAAAAATATGATTAAATTTAATGGTAGTCTTGTAAACTTTTATTGCATGTTTTGATGATTGTTCTTGTACAAAAGATTATGAATTTAAAGAGATACAAAGATAGCTTACACGTCTCTTAAAGACATAAATGTTTAAGATTGATTTGTCTTAGACTCACGAGATATAGAGGATATTGAATGAGTGTAGATTTAATACTAAATTTATCGAACGAGTTGAATAAAATCATATTATGTGAACCTCTGGCGGGCATAATATTGTTTTATTCAACGAGTTCAATACATTAAGTCTTGTATTATAGTTTGGAGACATTTTTATGAAAACGTGTCAGAGTTAAATCGTACACCAATACAGGCACAGTGCATTAACAGAAATGCAGGTATAACTTACGTGCACTCTCTGTCTGTCTAGAGCATGTGCTCGTTGATTGGCTCATTTTTTTCTGGGGTTTACTTAATATGACAAACTAGTGTTATATCGTTTATTTTAAAATAGCTTTATTATACTGAAGATTGCGCATTAGTTTCGTGATAATGCGAATTAGTTTTTTGATAAATTGTTATACTCGTATATTACATACTGTTTAATATACAATTGTTTACAAATCATAATTAGATTTTTTTTTAAATTTAAAAATTTCAAATTTACGAATACATATTAATGTGAACAGTCGGTAGCGCTGTTAAACAATATTTGCAATTTTTGTTCGAGTTAACTCTGTGTTGTTTTTCTTTTTTTGAATTCGGTTTTTAAATGAAGAAGTACATTTATGAAGATTGTTAAAGGAAAAATGAAATTGTTCTTGCTCATAATTTTTATATTCGTGTTTTTTTTTAATTTTCATTCCGTATAGATTCACAATAATTATACCTGAAGTGTATTTTGCGTATTTCAAACAGGAAAGATTACCAAAGATTGAATCTAACTTTGAACAATTAACATGCAATCTTTTGTATAGTAAGACACGTATTCCTTTATAATGATCAAAGTCAATCTAGTACTGTCAACATCATTTCATTCAAATTGCTATGTGAGTCTGTTACATTTACTATTCTTTAAAAAAAGTTTTTAAAATACACATTATATATTAGAAAGGAATACATTGTTCCTTCATAAGTAATTGGCGCAATTACGAGTTTTATAACATTTCATTCATGATTTGAGAGGGATTATGTTAGATGCGTATCACAAGAAGAAAGTACCACTGAATGTAAAATTATTTAGCATATATCAAGCAAAACGTGCAGAAAGTAGTATTTTGACTGCCATTCAAAATACTTAATCACTGTTATTTTACTTATTGCCAAAACATATCAGAAGAAAACTTTGATTCGGGTTTTTTAAATTTTGGAAACTATAACAGGACACCAAAATGAAAACCTCTTGAGAAATAAATATAAAAAAAAAACATTTCTAGGACATAATTGGCAAACGAAAGCTTTAAGAAATATTATTGAATTAAGTATTAAGTAGAATGTTCTTGTTACATCATGTGCAAGGATTTCACAGTCAGCAAAATGCAAAATAATTTCTGCAGCATGTTGCCTGAAGAAAGACGTATGTTATCTTGATACTGTAACATCTGTACCTAAAGATAAGCACAAATGGGTTAATAAGATAACCGACATATAGCCTAAGGACTGTTTTGTGACGTTCATGTAGATTTTCCTGGCAGGACTGGTGCATATTGTTTTTGGCATTTAAGGTATTACCACCCTAATGGGCACTATAAGGAACTAAAAAAATGACATCGTAGGTCAGATATATACCTTAAAGTACACCTGTATGCAAAATTTAAACAAAGTTTACCGTACGGAAATCAAGTTATGGCCACTTTTCTGAACTCAAGCTAGGATGTTATGAGGGCCCTTTTTTAGAAATGAGGAACCTTTAAATAATCTGCAAGAACATTCTAATGAAATATGTTTTCCCATTAATTTTTGGTAAAATCAAATGCAAGTGTTTTTTATCTAAAAAAAGATACTGGCGTCTTGGTCGAGTGGTTTACTCGCCGGACAAGTAATCTAAAGATCGCTAGCCGCGTGTCTGGAGCAAGCCAGTGAACACTTGAGCAAGAAACTATGCTCTTTATTCAGTACTGGTTTGCTCAAGGTGTATCTGTAACATTATAGCTTCCTACACAATCGAACCAAAAAGGCTGTATAAATTTAATGGAAAACACATTGTAGAATCACAATTACTTGCAAAAAGAGAAACGTTTAATTGTAGTGACAATGCAGAACTTCTTTATCTAATGAACACATGTTATCAAGCTTTAACATTATAAATTACAGCCTTAGAAAACATAGAAATTGAAATTTATCAAAAGATTAGCCAATTATACAAGTAATGGTTTCAATATTAAATTATGAAAATGCGCACTACAAGTTTTGTAAACATGTTATGCCACGTGCGCTAATTTGACTAATATTCTTGCCTTAAAACATAAGATTATGTGTTATGAGTATACAATACATAAAAAAATTCACAGTTATAAGAAGCTTAT